ACAGAGCAAAAAAAAAAAAAAAAAAAAAAAAAAAAAAAAAAAAAAAAAAACCTTCAAGCCTAGGGATGAGGCTGGGGAGCGGGGTGGGGGGCGTTCAAGTCTGTCAGCTGCTACCCCTGTCGCTGTCCCGGTGATAAGAGGGGACACCTGGGGTTGGCGGAGAGGCTGGCCAGAGAGACCCCTGCCCCGAGACTCGGAGTCACGCATCTGTCCTGTGTTCTGTCCCCGGTGGGAACCTGGCGCCTTAGAGGCAGACGTGGGATTGCATCCACACCTGTCTTCTTGGGCCTTTTCCTTTGGTGGGGGCCGGGGGGGTCTATGCTGGACGCAGTGGATGCCAGCACCTTCTTGCCGTGGTCAATGTCACCTGTGCTTGGCCGCCCACCTGAGGGGGCGTCCCTGGAGAGCCCTTTAGAAGTGAAGGTGCTGGGCTGAGTCAGAGGGTGGACGGTGGGGAGGACCCTTGCCTACCCCTGACGCTCCTGCTACCCTTCCAGAGGTTCTGCCAGTGCTGTGGTCCGTCGGAGCCTCCTCACCTTCCCCAAGAGCTGGCAAGGCCGGACAGATGTGTCTGGATAGGGAGTGGGTATTTTGCATGTGGCCTTCAGGACAACATCTGTCTCTCGACACCCTGCCCCAGCCATATGCCAGTGTCCAGACACCCCTTTGGGGCATGGCAACCACCGTGCTTCTGTTTTCTGTAGCCTTAGCTTTGAGGAGCCACCTGTCCCTCGACTCCTTCACGAGTGTCCTGGCCTAGGTTTGGGTGTGAGAGGAAGGGTCTGTCCCCAGGAAAGAGACCGATTAGGCTGCGTCATAAGAGTGCTTCTGCCCTTGGATAGGAGACCCCGGTTTGCCACAGAACCTGCCTGCTTCAGCTGGTAGGTTCTCCCAGATGAGAGGAGGGAAAAAAAAAAAAAAAAACTAAGATGAAGCACGGCTCGGCTCGGCTCGGAGTCTGTCTCCCTGTCCTCTCCCTTGTCATCGCTCTCCTCACACAGTCTGGCCATGCTCAGGCGGGTGATCAGTTGGCAAATTACAGGTGCCGCCCGGACGTGTCCTCTGTCAGCTGTCTGGATTTTTCACGAGTGGATGAGGGAGTGCGTGGAAGTTCAAGGCTTGGTGGGCTGTGGCATTGTCTTTCATTTGCTGCGGTGAAACTGGATCAAAACCAGAGTGTTTAAAAAGAGCAAAAGCGTGTTTTTTTTTTTAATTGTTCTTTTTTTTCCCCCTCAAAGCTAAGCCACAGTTTTTTGGTTTTTTTTTGTTTTTTTTTTCTTTCCTTTCGTTAACCATTTCCCAGCTCCTCAAGTGAAGGTTTAAGTAGTCATCTCTTTCTGTCTTTTGGACCTCTCTCCCCTTTCCTGCAGCATGCGCTGCTTTACTTGGCTGCTGGGCCTTCCTGAGTCTCCTCTAGGACAATGTAAGACCCTGACCAAAGTGTCCACCTGTCCCTCTGTTCTCAGCCAGATGTTAAGGAGGGTGTGAGTACAGCCGCACATTTCCAGCTGGACACTTCTTCTCCTGTCGGTGTGGCTGGAGTTAATTTGAGGGTCTGGGACATGTCTTACAAGCCATAATTAGGGGATTTGATTGGGGGGGGTCTAGGGTGACAAATGTGTAACGTCAAGGAGGATTTGCCATGACAGGCAGCGCCCTTCAGCTGCCCTGGTCCCGAGGATGCAGATGCCTATCGATCCTTGGAGGGAGGAAGGGGACCCCTGGAGACCCCTCCCAGCGACTGCGCTGGTTCTGAGTTAGGGCTTTTGTTAAACTGACATAAGATACTCGGGGCTGCTGCTGGGGCCTCAGGGCTTTATGGGGCTGCTCAGGGGTGAGGGGCATCCCTGAACCTCTCCTTGGGTGAGAGTGGCAAGGCTAGGAAGACACTGATACAGGTGGATTTTCAAGATGGAAAGTAGGACCATCAGCCTCAAGGTACTGGGGTAACTAGTCTTTCGTGGGGAGGGTCCTCAGTGATCACGAATATCCTCCTGAGTGTGGAGCCGTGGGAAGGGGGCCAGCTTCCCAAACTGCTTGGTTTTAATCACATGCAGGCTGAGGAGCTGGTGGCCGTTATTCCTGTGGTCGCCGTGGCAGCGTGGCTGTCTGCCATCGGGTGAAATGAACCAAGCCATTAGATTGCAAAGGGCAGAGGAGTTGCCACTGGAGGGAGGACAGGACTTTGGTTTTAGGAAGAGGGACCTCTCTCCCCCACTTCAGGCTGCATTGGGGTTTCAGATACATGTGTGGAGCATGGGTGGCTGTGCACAGTCTCGTGTCTCGTAGGATGGAGTCCTAGCACAGCACACACTCCCTTTTTTACCTGCTTTCTTCCGTTCCCATTTACGCCCACCCCAGTGGTCAGGCCAGCCAGTGCTGCTGGCTGAGAAGCAGTTCTTGCTGCTGGCAGCCTTGATGTATTTTCTGTCTTCTCTTTGTTTTGCCCCCACGCTGCAGCTTTGGGGGACTGTCTCTGTTTCTCTCTGTCTCTGTGTCTCTTTGTCTCTCTGGTCTTAACTCCTCGTTTATCCTCTCATCAATCTGTGCCCAGCCTGGCTTGCTTGCCTTTTTGTCCTCTCTTCTGGGTCCCTGTACTCTGTTCTATGGTGCCCTGGGGCTTCTCCTCCCACCCCCCCCCCCCCCGGCTCAGTTGAGTACTGGCTGAGTTCAGGATGGGGTGCCCAGCTGACCACCTGCCTGGCTGCACCGCTTAACCTGGCTCTGCTCTAGTGATGGGGTCGGTTTGGTGCCTCCCTTCCTCTGGCATGGGTGGGGAGCAGTGAGAGGCCCCGAGGGGCTTGCACCCCCAACAAATGAATGCCTGTCAGAGTGCATAAGTGCTTCTCTTCTGAGTGGACAAATGGGGAGCAATGCCTGTGACAGGGCATGCAGTCAGTCTAGCTATGGTTAATGGTGGGTGACGCGTGTCTGTCTGGGCCTCGGAGGAGCCAGGCTCCACCTCTCTGTGGCTCTCCCTGTTGGTGGGAGGCAACATTACATGTGTGGGTCCCCCCTTCTTTCCAACAACCTGCCGCAGCTTTTGCAGGAGGGAGGGCTGGGGCTTCCAAGCCCCTGTCAATAGAATGCGGCGCAGCCAGGTGCCTGCACCCCTTCTCGTGTTGAGAATCCGGGGGAGACCTTTGCCCTTGATGCTCTACTCTTACTAGGGCTGTTCCTTCTGGCTTGAAAAGGGAAGAGGCCCGCTTTAAAATGGGTGCCTTTATAGTCTGAGGGGCTAGCCTCCTTCCAGGCTCCTCAGTACACACATGTCCCTAGACACTGACCCCAGAGTGAAGCTGGTACCACAAGTGAATCGAGAGAGCCCTTCCATAGTGGGCGTCTCCTCCCCTCTGCTTGAGTGTAGGTGGACACTGCCAGCTTCTTGGAGGACACCGTTTGGAGGCATGCTGGGTGTCAAACATAAACCTCGCATGCTCCATTTTGGCCTTTAGAGCTGGTCTTCTCTTTTGGGATGACCTTGCCTTGATTTCCCCGACTGAAATCATACAATCTTAGGAGGCTGGTGAGGCAGGGAAGAGCAGCCTCCAGTGGGCAGGTACAACTCTCTCAGGTCACAGGGCAGGGACTGTTCATACCTGCATCAGGCTCACAAGCCAAGGCTGTGGGACCTAGGCTGCTGACAAGGTCTCATTATGTAGACCAGTACTGGAACCTTCTAGTACTCCGATTAAAGTCCTGTGCTACCACGCCCAACTCTGACTTCCTCCTCGGCTCTTCACCCCCTTCCTACTTATCTCTACTCTCCCACCCACACCCCAGCCCCATGTCCAGCCTTGGTGACTTGGCGGTGGAGGATGTGGCTCACGGTGGACTCCCCTCACTGAGCCTGGAATGTGTTGCTTATGTGTGTTACCAGCTTGTCCTCAGAAATTTTGCTGTGGTCTCCCCTCAGACTGGGGTACTGAGACACAGAAAGATAGAAGGACCTGCCCGAAGCCCATGTTTCCTAGAAGGATGAAGAAAGGATGTTCTGTCAACCCCCAGGGGGGCTGGATAGGAGCCCAGGAGATGGGGAGAGGAGCTAAAGCCCAGAGTCTTTAGGAAGAAGAGGCTGAGGATGTGGGAAGTGGAGGAAGCTCCCTCCCCCATGACCTTGCCTGCCTTGTCCCTCTTTCTCCTCTGGGTCTCCTGCAAGCCTGAAAGGACATCTTTGGCCAGGCCTGCCCTACCAGCCCTACTGTGCATGCCACCCTCCTGTGTGCATGCTGGCCCTCATGGAATGGCCAACCAACCCAGAATTGTCCTTGTCCTAGTACTTTAATTGTAGGAAAGCTTGCTGGGCAAGGGGCTGAGCAGCACTGTGTGTGTGTGTGTGTGTGTGTGTGTGTGTGTGTGTGTGTGTGTGTATTGGGGGAGTGATTTCATTTCCAGATTCTATTATGATTCTAGAAAGAAAGGTCAGGGGGTAGCGGTGGAGCCCGGGTTTTAATGCAGATATGAATTTGGAGCCTCTGAGCTATTTTGCCAGGTTTATAGGACTTATAGGACTTTAGAAGACTCCTGTCTTCTAGGTGCTTGAGAATGTGCTGTCTGCACACAACAGGTGGGGTTGGGGCAAAAGCCCTAGGCTCTTAGGGGTCAAAGCAGGCAGGCTGGGCCCTGCAGGCTAACATTGCCTATGGGATGAGAATGGTCTCTTTCTGGGAATGGTCTTTTCTCCAGCCCCCAACCCATTCCAGAATTGCCTAGGAACCCATGATCTGTGTCTTCTGGTGACTGGGGCCTAGCTGTGTGAGGGGCACTGGTGCCTAGGGCCCCCAAGGTGATGGTAGGGGGTTTCCCATC